TGAGATGAGTTGGGTGGTCTCAGCCCGGCTGCCGCATGCATGGAGCGAGGCAGGAGGGCTGTGCCACGCAGGGTGCTCTCCGTTCCTGAAAGGTACGCAGCTTCACGTACAGGCTCCTGAGCAGCATTAAAGGGCTGCATGGGTGGGGGGCTGCGATGCCCTGGCACCCACCCAGCACTCAGCCGCAGTGCAGCCCCACTATGCCTGGGGCACGCGGGGGCTCTCCCCGAGCCAGGCTTGCAGCCTCCAAAGCTGAAGCAGGAAGGGAAGGTGAGGGCAGCTTTGGTTTTTTGCAAAACTTCCTCCCCTTGGCACAGACGCCTGCGGGTGCCAGGGCTTCCTGCCCCAGGAGGGGTGACCCAGCCACACCGACGGCTGTGGGACTGGGTCTCCCCCTCCATGGGTGCTCTCGCAGGGATGCGGGGCCAAGCCAGGGAAGTTTGTGTGATTTCCCCTACTTGCTCCATGGCATGAAATCGAGCTCGGCTGGGGACAGAAATCCCCCCAGGGTGGCCCCGCTGCGCCTTGAGCTTTCCTGCAACGTGTCTCGGAAGGAGGGCGAGCGCTGGCGAGGAGGGAGCTGTGCCTCATGGCTGGAGCTCAGCTGACGCTCAGCGGTTCATTCATGGCCGCACTCCATTTTCCAGCTGTTTCTCTCCCTCCGTCAGCTTTCTCGGAGCAAACGGCGCGGTCTGGGGACTTTCTCCAAGGGGGTGGGGAGAGCTCATGTCACAGCCGGGTTGCAGCTATAAATGGTGTTAGTGTTAGAAAACAACCTGCAAGTTACCCTAGAAACCAGGCTGTGCTTCCTGGGCTCTGCTGGGCGCGTGGGACTGATGGCGGCCTTGATTCGGTGCACGGAAATTCAGATAAAGCTGGTGGGACTTTGCAGAGGCTGCCCAGCCTTGGCACTGTGCAGCAACAGGGCATCCCCAGCAGCTGCAGAAGCTGGGATGGTGGCAGGGCTTGAGGGGATGCAGGGAGCGTTGCGGGGTGCCGCAAAGAGGATCAGCCCCACAGAGGATGCTCAGCCCATTTCCATGCATTCAGCACTTTCCTCCCCTCCCAGTTTTGCTTGGCACTGGCAGGAAGCTGCGCAGGGGTCCATCTCCTCCGCCCCCAGCCCATGGGGTCCCCAACTAGGTGCTCGATACCAAAGGACCTCAGTTATGGTGGGCACAGGGTGGCTGGCAAAGCCCCTCTCCCCGTGCCTCCCCAGCAGCACCCGGCCATCGCCGTCCTGCGGGTACCACACCACAGCAATGGCTGGCACCCACGCCTGAGGGAGGGAGCAAAGCCTCCGTCAACTAAGGCAGCCCACGGAGAGGGGGCTTTGGCTCACGTCGGCTTCTCTGTTCCCTCCCGCAGCTCCTCCTTGCCCTCGCTCCGGTCATTTCCAGCTCGGGAAGCCATGGCACCCAAAGGAAAGGTAAGGGTGACCCAGGCACAGCAGGGATGGGGACCCAGGGTACCGCAGGGCAGATCCCAGAGCCAGGGCAGCGTCTCCATTGTACAGCAAGGATGGTGGAGATGTGCACGGGGCACGATGCTGTCTGGAGCCTGTTTACATT